GCTGCCGTCATTGTGTGCCGATCCCGTAATAGGTTAGTCTATATTCGAGGTGTCAACACCGACTCCTCCTATGTTCCGCATTTATTCTGCAGCCACTTACCCATCACTTCAACCCACTGCTTGCATCATGCGACACTAGGGGGAGCAAATGCGTTCACAAAGAAAACAACTATAAGCCTTCATCTGTCGCGGCTATACGATCTATTCCCTTCGTCTTGACCGCTCCAGATTTCGAAGCTTGGCTCGACGATTTTTGAACCACACTTGAATTTTCGATTCGTTGATGCCGAGTCTTGATGCGAGCTCCTCGCGCATGCTCACGTCGGGATACCTGTTCACCCCAAACACTTCCTCCATCGCCTCGAGTTGTTCTGGTGTGTAAATTGTCCGTTCGCGCCTAGATGGAGCCTGGGCTAAAGTAAAGTTACAAAGCAATGGGTAGAATTGAATGGTGAGGAAAGAATATTTCCTTCAAAAAAGACACTGTGTTCAATACGGTGCGCCTACTGAGTCCTTCGTAGCAAAATCTGTGTTAGCGGGCGGACAGTGGATTATCATCCCGTTTATCCGCCATTAGTCCAACTATTAACACCCCTGTCACTATCTTCCGGTAAATATTCCAATGATATCCTAACGACAAGCAATTCATGTCGTAAAATGCTGGAATAATACTCCCGACGTCAAATAAAGAGTTGAATCAATGAGTGAAACTTCGAATTTGCCGTCCAATATATTGTTTAAGGGCCAAAACCACCACCCATCCTACCACAATATTCACCCACAATAAACTGTGCAACCTTTCCAATGTAATACAACCTCATGAATAAACTGATTCGCACTGATTTCTATCAGCTTCTTCAATTCACACCGGGCATGAAACGCAGCTTGTGTTGTTGTGCCATTCAAGGGCATCAAAAGGAGCGCATTAACACATAGAAACACCGTAAAACCAAATGGCTCTAAATGCAGCAGCCATTGCGCCTGTTAATTTAAACCAGATCACTTTATCCATTCAGCGAAGAGACCACGTGAAGAAAATAAGGTTGTGAAATTATGAACCTCGTCCACGTGGGAGTGCGATTCTGTGGGCCATAGGTGCGGTAGTAATGGCCTGTTAGAAATGGGGAAAACAACAATTTTGTCTACCTAAAGTCTTTGCCTTTTCACTGGTATTTCCTAATGGGTTGTACCATTTCCCCCTTCCACTCATTCGTAATGCTCCCTCCCAAGTCAAATCGCCAACTATGTCAATGAACGGCGCTAGGAAATCAGTGACAATGTAGACAAGTCGAATTTCTGCTATGCAGTGATTGCACCGAACAATAAACTCGTTTGGATACTCATTCTCATCATGAGAGTTGGACCGTTTCGGGTTCATTTTACATCCGAAGCAAAGTTTATTCAAGTGATTCGGCTGATTTATGGGCCCATCTACTAGGATAGTTCTTCTAGTTCTAAATTTACACCTAATTTCATGGGCACGAATGAAACGAACCCACACATTGTGTTTGTGACAATCCTTTTCAGGAACGAAAATAAGTTGGATGGATGAATGGGAGGCACTGCAATAATTGAGGAGGAGACACGTGATGGAGAAAACTGGCGCAACTACTCCTCATGTGAGGCATTTCCCGCAAAACCTCCCTCAGAATTCAAGAGTTTCCGCTGGATTGCATCTTTAAAAGGATGTCAGAAACCTGGATAATGGCATCCACTTTACTGTGTAATGATACGTTATACAGAACTCTCCTCTGATCGTTAGAGCCCTCTTTTCAATCGGTCCTTGAGACCTTATGGTACCCTCGGGAACAAACGGTTGCAACTCCTTCTTGAAAGAAACCTTATTTTGTTCCTTTGAGGAAAAAACAGTCCTCATCATCCTTTCCTTAAAGTTGCATCCTCTGGCGTGATCACTAAGGCCTGACACTTTTAGCAAACTTGCCTAGTCAGTTAGAGGCAGATAAAGCAATAATTTTGAAGACCGACCATGACCTTTAACGTTGGACGGTTGGTGCCCACACCTTAAGGACATGGTGTTAGGGCTGCGTTGTTAGTGCGATCGACAAAAGCAATTCTGATTTGATGAATTCTTATCCCAACCCTCAACCTGACACACATCTGTGACGCCTACCGACTGCATTGACTCACACTTTGAGGGACTCGAGTGCGACGAACTTAGTGAAGAAATTTAACATAGAAGCTGGGACAACCCTTTCCATGTAAATGAATGGAACTTGAGTAGACCTAAACATAAGCCCCTGAAAGGTTAAATCACTGCCTTTTAGAAGAGGGCTGAAGGTTTAATTTACTTACTGCGCAACTCTGCCAAGCTAGTCCAATTGTCTTCAAGACCAAACCAGGGATACTAACAATCATTACATCAAGTGCAAAATTATGAAGGCATTTCAATTACTTATTAAACCAACTTTTGGCTACTTCAAATTACTTCCTACCTCTGCTCTCTGCATTACAAGCCACATCCTGTGAAATGCCCGCCTCGGACTCCATCCCACTCTTGGTTAGAGGGTGTTGCATTTGCTGCGAAGGCATGCTCGTTACTGACATGAAGGGAATCAGTTGCTGATGTTGACAGTGACGATATTGTTGTTGCAAGTGATGGATGATTGCGGCATGCGATAAAGTTGGCCTCGGTGCATGTGAAAGACTTGAATTGAAGCTATGCACCACATGATTTGGGAAAGCGGACTGTATTCGTGGCATGGACCCACTTCGGGTCCGAGATACTTCTTGGACTGTATTCCACGTAGATTTAGGTAAAGGAGGAGGATCAACGAGAGGTGGTGATGAGTGAGGTAACTGAAAAGATGTGCCTAAGACTGCTCCAGGCAGCATTTCATTCCTGCCATCATCTCCGCAGTAGCTTCCACTACTCTGTCGGTATGGCATCTACGAAAAGTTAAATATTTACACGAGATGTCAAGGAAACATTAGTCCATTTATCCAACAGGGAACGCCACAGTAGGTGACAGAGAAGGAATGCTCCGTTAAAAGGACCTAGGTACAAGAGCTTACGTCCATTTCTGGAGCCGAACTTTCTGGTGGTGTAGACTGCGGTGACTCCCTCGAGGTCAGGAAATCGGGAGCACCGACTGCGTCATACTGGCTGCTGGCAACAAAACCCCCATTTGGACGATAAGGGCTGCGTTGTTGTGATGCAAACTGACGCATGGGAGATGGAGTAAAGTTGAATAAGATCGCAGTAGTGAATCAGAGCTACTAATTAGCACCTGCTTAAGAGATGTGCATGTCATCTGAGGTGGTAATACCATTACTCGAAGTACGCTAAAGCGGGTCTCGTTAGGGAAAAGGCATGAGAGAGAGAGAGCATGAGAACTTACCGGAGCAGTATGAAATGACGGTGCCACGGCCGAACCGTAGAGAGATGAGTAGGGAAAATGAGTTGCCGCTGGTCGGCGGGGCCGGGTTGGTGTCTGTATTGGGAAGAAAATAAGAGAATGTCTAAAATCCTCTTCACCAGGAGCAAAGTTGGAACATGGGAGGAAGCATTAAAAAGGCAATAAATTGGATTGTGAGTGGCAAAAATTCGTTTGGGCTTTAGTTAATAAAGGAAGGAGCAACCATTGACTGCCTAAAATCTCCGAGTAGGACCTTCTTTCCCATGGTTGCTTACAGACTGATAAAACAGTAAATAGGAAACTGAGAGTCTCGTTAAGCTTTGTCTCAGGCTAAACTCCGTTGGCCAGGCAACGTGGCTCATTTGTGGTGAAAAAGTTAAAGTTGGAAAACAACCTGCATCCTTTGCATTGGAGTGGTTATCGGCGAATAGGGCTGTGGCACAGTCGATGTTGAACCTGGTGAGATGTGAGGTACAGGCGTCATTGGCACAGAAAGCTAAAAGGGTCGCAAAAGAAGCAATGCGGAGAATTCTTTTCTACACCTAATTTCCATTGGGAAAGATGGTTTTCCTAATGATACATATATTAACTAGGAAAGCGTAAAAAGAATAATCAAATTCGCCTTAAGAACTAAGAAGTGAATCAAATTTGAATTAACTAAGTCAGTTATCTATGACCACGTGAAGACAGGCAACAACCACATGGAGGAATACGAGAGGAGTAGAAATGATGAGGAGAAGGCAGCATTGCTTTCTCAAACGAAAGCCAGGTATGGGGTCATGCCATGGCTATGCACCGCGCCATGAGGTTTGAGACATTGCACTCTCTTGCAAGGCTGATCTGTCAGTCCCACCCTCTCTCAGATGATTCCCGCATAACTGCTAACTTGATGCAGTAGATGGATAGCAATCGTTATTGTTTGGCTTTCAGCAAGCAGACAATTTTAAGCAAACAGCATCGTCTCCTGTTGTCCATTCGCACATCACGTAGAAGTGAGACCAGATCGTTCAGCAACAACGAAATGCGTCTACTTTTGGTCAATAAACGTTGGAAATCAACCCGTCAGGAGGGAAGCAACCAGATGAAGGAACTTTAATGTCAAGTGGAGGAAGTGAAGAGGTCTGTTGGTATCTATCATTGTACAGAGTGTATCTCATTCGTCCAAGCTTTCACACGATTAAGTGGTCATTTTTATGCCAAAAACTATTTTCATAACCCATCGCTGACACGTCAACTCCAATTTAGCAACACATTCAACTCATTTATTCTAACTACCTCTAAATATTGAGTTTTGCTCGGTGCCTCCCCCAAATGCCACACAGCGGATAGAGGGGGAAGCGTTGCTGCTTTCGAATCAACCGAGTCAAAATCGGTTCGTAAGGCAGACGTACTCAGACCACATTCGCTGTGTTCAGCCGGCACTTTATAAAAAAGGATCCAAAGTATGAGGAAATCAATTCAGAGTAAGAAAGGGATTCCCCTAGACTGATTCATGCCTCTGTGAATAAACAAAAGTAGTCCACGAACTTCACCGTAAAATTGCACAAAATTTGAAGTCGCTCAGTAGCACCTTTTCTAAGCAACACATCGTCTTATTTCAGATGTACCAAAATTCAAAGTGAAACTACAAAAAAATGTTGAAGAACAATGTACAAAGGGATTAGATTTTACCTGGAGGAACCGCATGGCAGGCATTGGCACTGGGTACACAGAAGAGACAGGTAGTGCTGCGGCTACATGCGTCAGCGTCTAAATTGGACGGATTGGAACAAAGACAAGTCAAATAGTTTCCGTCCAGAAGAAGTATACTCTTACGTAATTACAGACTCAAAATGCAGGCACATATTTAGCCTTTCAAGCAGGTCGCTCCTGATTCGAAATATTTGCACAAATTTGTGGTGACCCATTCACCTCCAACTTGTCTAGCTATCTCAGTGGTTCCAGCAATTGGATTATAAAATTCATTAACTCTAAACAATGGTACTGCTCCTAAATTGTGCTATTTTATAACAAAGAGGGCAACTGTTCTAGGTTTTAAACAAAAATGTGATTAAACATCAGATAGTAACTCTTAAGTGGAGTACCACTTGAAATGAGGAGTAGATGTGCGTATGTAGGTGTGTGTGTGCATGAGAACCTACTTTATCATGCCATTTAACGAGGACATAAATTATCTCTTCGCACACAAGCAAGGAAGAAAGTGAGAAATCTGAAGTGCAAGCCAATCTCACACTTTCGAAGTACTCTCCGATCGGGAGGAAACGAGTGGCCAGGATGGAGGTAATACAAACAGTACAGTAAAATGAAGAGCTCACCTCTGCAGAATTGAGGCCTGCGGTTCCGCTGATCGGTTCATGGTCTGTGCTACAGCCGGAAGATCCTTGAAAGCTGGAGAGTGGATAAGGCAGATACGGATAATTGGTGTTATTCAAATGTGAACTCTGTGCTGCGTTACCCCGTGACTCCTGATACGATGATTCCGCCTTTAGTTCCTGGTCATCAGATTCACTACCGCTATCTGTAGAAAGTATTACATTAGTTTCACCTTTTTTTTAAAAAAAACAGGAAGTGTACATACGCAATAAAGCAGATAAAACAAATGGTGGGTTAATTCTACTGACTCCAAAAGAAAAACCGTCAGCTGATATCACTAAGTGGGATCAGGTTGATAATCTACTTAACAATCGTATTAATCCGTTAAGTCAGAAGTTCTTAGGGAGAATTTCTAATGAGGGATAATGCAGAAGCTGCAGCACGAGGAAGTCGTAAACGTAAAGAAGTAATCGCATTGTAACGGATCTTGCAGCCAAGACGCAGACATTACATAATCCGCTTACACATCTCTGTCAAATAATGCAACAGACTTCTGAACTATTAAATTTTATAAATACAATCTCGTTCTTCATTGGGCTTTCACTTAAAATTGTGTGCGTTCATTCCTGGACTGTGATTGGCTAATGCGTTCGCCACCTAATCATAGAGTGCCGGTAGAGCAGTCATACGAGCCAATCATAAGGCTGAACAGTAGTAACTTGTAGGTGATAGAATTTGCATTAAAAAAATACAGTTCAAAGCATAACAAGGCATTTTTGTAAGTAGTCAAGAAGAACACAGGCTGAAAAGGAAGTGTTTTGCAGTTTTTACTTGCGAATATCGAAGCAGCCGAAGTAAGGTGGAAGCAACCATTGGAATCCGAGATAGTGCAAGCGAACCTTCTAGAATGCAAAAACAAAAAAAGTAACAAATGTTATTTCCGAATTTTCCTCAACAGCAAAATGAGAAGTTCAGAAAGTAGTCTTTTCTACTCGTTGTTGGAGCTGTTAGGCTGGTAGGCATAGGCATGTCCTCTAAATCACCCAATGCGGAGAAGAAAATGCTTGCGACTAAGTATTTCTGCTCATGGTCAAGACAGACACAAAGGCAAGAGATTAGTGAGTGGGAAGTGGCCTACAAACAGGTGGTAGTAAAAATCGGGTCGGCGAAGAAATATTGGTGAAGCGGTTTAGCAAAGATACCTGATCAAATGGAAGGCAGGTTGCTTAATTCCAACTCTAAAGAATTCGATAACGTAGTAAAATAATAGGAAGGATATGCAGAGTACATTTACTTCCACCGACGCAGATGGAAGGATCGACATTGAATGCGCAAAACGCATTCCACCACGGACAGCAATGCAGCTACGTCAACGTCACATGGGCGGAGAGTGAAATAGCGAGTTGTAACACGATTGAGAGGACACATGAATGGTTGGCCAGAATGAAGCTCACTTTTTCTCACATTGACAAATGCCTGCACATCACCATCCGGGACGGATATCGCATCCTTTTGCAGGTGCTGAAAGACCGAGATGTCACGGAGAAACGCTGATGCAATATAAATTACTTCCTCTCAAATCTGGACATCTGTTGTGGTTTAAAATTAACGCACCACCCTTTTACATACGAAATGTTATTACCTTGTATTTTGCCACGTAAACAGCTCATAAGCTTCTTTGTTAATAATGGTAGGTGGCACAAAGACCGAATTGCAAAGTTCATTGACCGTAATGTTGCCTTATCTTCATCATCCGTGCTCCCCTCTTATTCCTCCAGGTGATTGTCACCTTGTCTGCACACCAAGTGGAATAAAGAGTTGGGTAATGAAAGGGGCAGAAATGAATAGAAAAGGATGGATAGGGCTGAAATGACGTTGACGACTCCTAACGTTAAATGTGCTATTATTTTGCTGAGCTCATGAAATCTCAGGTTCCAGGGGACATTTCTTTATTCTTTAGCGACAAGTCGACATCATACCAAAGTGGGATGTTCCTAGAGAAGCTCAACTTTAAATAAAGCATCTTTCATGAGATGTGGTGTTTGGAGTCCCCCGATAATGCAGACAGTTACCGTGTCGAAATCTACTATTTATCGGATGTCTGCACAACCGTCTCAACGAAGCGAGTCACGTACTTGTGGTTCAATCATCGGGCGACGAAGTTACGGAGCCAATACCGCACACGCTAGTCTCCAAGTCCTATGTTGTCATGGCAACACGTCTGCAAATGTCACGTACCACATAGGACTGAGCTAAATGGACCATACGATTCATAATGGAGAAATGTGACCATCAGGTCTCCTACTGTTCACTCATTTGATCACAAAATTTTGGCCATTCTTTAGGTCAGGAATTGTGACTGCTGGTATTTAAGTCATTCCAGAGGATGATATAAAGCCCACCAGCAGAGAAGTGCAGTTTATTGTTATTCTATTGACGGGATGGAAAGGAAATGGCATAAAGACGTAGTAAAACACGCAGATTGAGTAGTCTGTGTTTACTCGCTGCAGTGTTCCCTTCTTTTCTCTCGCCACTGTATTATCCGCTGGAACCAGAGAGGGATAACTTGGAAGTCTAGATGTAGAGTAGGTGCAAACCACCGACGAATAACCTCTGTATTACACCTTTAGTAAACTCTGATAGCAAGTTTAGCGAGTTTTCTATGAACCACTGGGGTATTAAGAGAGGTAGACAAGTAAACGCGTGCATGAAGTATTCCTTGTGATTTTGCAATTTACATCGCTTGATTTTCTCACATATCCTTCTCACCTCCTTTCGCGTTGTATGGGTGTCTGCTGTCAGCGTGTGAAGTGAGGCTCACACTCTCATCGACTCAAATTACACTGCTTGAAGAGCACGTTGAAGTGCTTGACACTTCATTACTTCTCTTGCATCCTGTGCATCATCGTTTGTTGAAAGCAAACGATGCTTCATTCTCAGGCTTGGGTTACGAGACAAGCACAACATTTTCCATCATCATGCACAGATAACGAGATGGATTTCCACATCAATTTTACCTCTTCAAACTTGTTGTTCGCCTAATCTTCGTAGGGAAAAATGCTTTTAGATTTGTATCAGCGATCAGATGCCATAGTGGAGAAAGCGATTGAGGAATAGTAGGTCAGTGTATTTGCGACTGAGGCTTCAACTACGTCCAGCGGGGAGATAGTGTCCTGGCTACCCAAGGACCATGAGGCCTGTGCCATTGTTGGCGCAAGTTGGATTTCCCCAGCAAATTTCGCTTATTCCTGGCTATATCCAAGTTGAGATGTTAATACTTGACTTCGAACTCTTTTAGCATCTGATATTCATCGTGAACTATAAAAGACTGACTTATTTAGCCTGAGTGGTTCATTAAATATAAGCAAGCAACTGACACCTGTACCTTTGTTGCTGTGGCACCTCATACCAATTCAAGTGTTGTAACTTTCGAGGTATGCAGCACGCACAACACAAAACCGGACATGAACACCTAAATAAGCCCCATATCACACAGATGAACATCGAAAATCAGTCTAAGCCTTATAGAATGCAAAATCTACTAACAATTTACCTATCACGCTTCCCTACAACGCTTAATTGAGGTGTCTATAGCCAATCGAAGTAGGCTTTGCATAAGAGGAGGCTCGTCTCTTTACCCCCCGGAAGTGAACTGCAGTCCAGAGAATAAACGACTTCAGTTGATCGACAGAATTTAATAGCAGGAAGTGAGCTGCATCAAGGCGAACAAGGCAAAGTAGAAGATGCATTTCAAGGAAGGTGGAACCTAATTTCAAACGCCCCTAAAAGGCCATACTATCCTGACGGTACTGCAAGTAGTGGGGGGAAGAGTTACCCCTTTCCAAAATCCAGCACGCGTCTGGTCGGCTGATCCTGGATTGGCATTTCCAGGCACCAGTGATAGACGAAGTCTGCTTAAACCATGAGACAATTCACGAATCTCTGTAAAGTACTCCAAATGCAGTATAGTGACAGGGTACTTCTTCGGTCAGCAGTAAAAGTTGAAAGAACTCCTTCAGTGATGATGGTAATGTCGTTTTCCAGCCCTCAGTTCGCCGGACGAGCATTCAATCTTCGATAAGAACAAATGCAGTTTCTATCCGTTGAAACTGGCTATCCCTTACCTTTATACACTCTGCATTCCCGGATTCACTTGAATGAACCTCTTAGGATGGTTCATATCAAAGTAATTTTTTGCAGACATAGTTGCAAACAAAAGGATTGTAAGCTAACGAATTGCATCAATTGCGTTGGAATCGCCATCTTCCTGATTGAAAGCTGTCGCACGGACTTTGTTCCTGTTCTGTGGACAGTGCTGGTAGAAGCCAAGTGGAAGGATGTCCAAGGGGCGTTCAGACGAACTCACACATAGGAAGGAATTGATGGAACTTAAGGGCTATCCCCTTCTTCTAGTTCCTCTTCATTCAACTTCTACACTAGTGACGTTTCTTTCATCTCACCGCCCATCCCATCGGTCTTTCAGTTCATTTATAATTTTATGTTACACTCACTTCTACAACACTCCAGTTTTGCATTCCCTACGCAAAGTTTATTTAATTTGCTATGCGAGCCAAATTCAGTGAATATTTTGTTGAGAGGTGATTCTCAGGTAAGAAGTGCCAAGACTTATTTTTGTGATTTTGATGCACAACTTCTATCCATTACTCACAATGCTACCATAACAATCGATCAGCTGGAACTGTTCTGATTGGCCGGTAAGTCCTTTTCGGTTATCGGTCGGACGTCAAAAAAGCCGCGTTTACACCCCCTTACTTGGTGGCTTTATCTACCACGAACAAAGTCAAACCTTATGGACGATAACTAGTGTAGTTAATTTGACCCGCTGGGACTACCACTCCCACGAAAGCTCGCAAATTGGACACAATAATTCTCTTCTCCCAGTTTAACCTTTGCATTTCAGATTTCGGAATGAACAGTAACAAATACTGGCTGTCAGAGGTAACATTTTTTCATGCGTCACACCTTGCCATACCCACGTGTAACTCTTAAAGCTTTTGAAGTAGGAGCGAGCTCTACCCCCCCTGCCATGTCTAAATGCTACTTGCGAAACCCTAATGAACACTCTTCTGTTTTGACTAGGCAACACTGGACGAGGTTATTTCATTTATTCCAACAGAGAGAAGTTCTGATTATTTACCACTAGACGCATTCGACGAAGATCAGGTAGATGAACTGCGAACAGTAATGCATTTTAACAACTTTCTTAATGCAGTTTTACCCAATCATGCCCCTTCTCCCCATCACGATGTCAAATACTGCCATCACACAGGCCTGAAGCATCTTTACTTAAATGTGTGGCTGAGCTGTGAGCTCCTTATTATTGGGAATGGAGTTGTATTGCGACAATTTCCATTTACACACATTTGGAATAATCTCCCAGGAGGTGCCATATCAACCGAATGGCGGGCCAATTGGGAGCGCAGAATACATAGACTTCCGAGCCTACGATATGTGGGACAGAGCGGAGCCTCCTTCTTCACCTCAATACTATCGTCGCATGCCTACATCCGCAATATCCATCGTAGAGGTAAGTTTGAGGTAGTTTTTCCTTCGTCAATTACACCTCTTTCAACGAAGGAGTCGGATGGACCGAAAGAGGAATCTGAGCCAGTCTTTCAGCATAGTGATTTAAACAGTGTTTCAGCAATTCGAGATGGACCGCCAGATGACCCTATGCTGCACGTCCAGTGTGGCAAATTGGATATTGTGTCAGACTTCCAAGAAGGACCTTCAGAGGTCCCTATGCCAGTAGTTCAAAATGGTGAATTGAAAGGTGGTTCAGGATTTCTCGGAATGTTGCGGGAAAATGAAGCAAATTTCCTTAATCTTTCCCAAAACTTAGTTAAAATTTCAGCACCGGCTACTAAGTCAAATTGGTCGCAGATGGTGGAATACTCTCGGCATTACTCCAGAAGATACATTTTACATGTCAAGAATAAGCCATGTTATATGCCCCACTGGTTTACCACTCATCAAGTGGTCTGTAATTCACGTAACGTTTCCTCACACAAGCAGTTACTACAGATTTTCCTTAATTTAAAGTGAATGTCTCTCATTATAAGCAGACCTTGTATTTAGCCATTTGTCTCATCAGAATTCCCCTTGACACTATTTTGCAGGAGCTAGATGAACAAGATATGGGCGGTTCAGACAACCAACCCCCCACCCTAATACTACTTCAAAGCAGTTACACAACTGTGCCCACACGAGAACTGAATGGAGGGCAGTACATATTACCAAATAACACTAAGCAGACACTACTAAGTAATAGTAAGTGCCGTCATTTAGAATGGTTTATTTGTTTATGCACTGACCCTTGCCTGATCATTCATCCCCTTCTCTGAAAGTGGGTTCCTGCTATCCTCAAGGTGAAGATGTTTGCTTTGTGTACTCCACGCCACCTGAACTGAATACAGGCGATTGGAATGGTACGCAATCCCTTCCTTCTCCGATCCCTCTACCGCTTCCTGATACCGGTCCCGTCAATGAACCCACAGGAGAACAGACTAGAGGTGAAAGCTAGTTTTAGGTTTTCTTGCTTGTGATGGGGTACACAGCATTTCGATGCATGCCTCCAAAGTTGTCTTTTGCTCTCTCCTTGCAGCACCTATAACCAGCAGACGGAGGAGGGTGCGCTATGAAGACTGGCAAATTGAAATTCTGACAAGAGAATTTGAAAGAAACCACAGACCGAGTAGTTCGGTTTACGCTCGCATTGCTGATGCAACCAATGTGTCGACGAGAAACGTGAGAATCTGGTTCAAGAATCGCCGCGCCAATGGAAATGTGGCAACGTGAAAGGAACAGAAGCAACATTTTTCACCCACCCTGTAAAATATTAAATAACCAAAAATTAGAAAGTGTCTTCTGCGGAATGTTGCAGGGCTTATGGTCTCGTTTCAAGATGGGTTCTCTGCTTCCCAAAAGTTGAAGCAATTCTTTTGTTTTGGATGAATTGACGGAGAAGTTGAAGTTCCGACATCAGAGTATCCAATCCTGCTGCGCTTGATTCTCGTCTCTCCTAGGTATTCACACCTCGAAAGGAAGAGATGAGCGACCATAACACGGGTGTTTGCAAGGCATTTGCGAAACCCTCATGGACAGGAAAAGGGGAGCCGAAGTAAGTGGATAATAAAATTTACTTCAGATCTGTGATTTGATACAGACTACAACCAATAGCCTCACTGTAGTTTCTACTCACGTCACCTAAACACTTGTGGGGCAGAACAATGGTGGCAAGGCAAATCAAGTGCCCCTTTTCGCTTTGTAATCGCCTTCAGCAATGCCACTGCATGCTTGCTACATAACAACGTGACCAAGTCAACCAAAACTAAATTGTGGAGGCATATCCTGACCGTCGAAGGGCTGATGGTTTACTGACTGACTGAAACCTAAAAATGCACCTTCTCTTCCCGTCTTCACACATCACTTTGATTTCACTCACTAGGCTGCTCTGGTAATGTTATGCCACAAAATCTGGCACAGTGGTGCGTGGTTGAGCCGCCTTCTGGTTTCATTTGCCAGTTGCATCAGCAGTTGTGACGTCGTCTTTTCGGAAGCACAGTTGCTGCCCTTGGCAGGATGAGTTGGAATGAACTGCAGTAAAGCGAATTGAAGTGTCTTCCACTGCATGCTTAACTAGCCAAGTTTTCCAAGTGATGTGGTGCTCACTTCTGTCCGGGAGCATGGTCTTGCGACCACGCTTTTGGTCGTCCTGTCCATTAACCAACTGTCAAATCATCCACCTTAAGTTATCAATCCTCCTCTGCACAGCTGCGACTTACTAGAACGTAGGAAAGGATGACAGCGCTGCGGAATCACCGTAAAAGGACCTTTGCATGCAGAGCAACACGATGTTAAACTGCTTTGATTGGCACTATTTGAAGGGTTTTAAATTATTACTTCACTACCTACAACTGCATTCCGTTTTCAAGGCCATTCAAATCATTGGAAATGCGTGAGGATAGAGTCACCCCTTCAGCCAGTTGGTAATCAAGTGCACATACGCCGCATCACCTCCCTCTCCATCCCCTGCCCTGCCACCCTCCCTTTCGCCCTCGCACACCTGTAGGTGGATAAAGACGAACAAAATCAAATGCAGCGGCCTGCATAGCCAAACATAATTTGGGATGAGGTGTCATCTCCTCCGCCTTCCTAAAGGCATCCGTTCGGTGTGCATTGAGAATTTGGCAAGGAGGACTCTGAAAACAATGCTCTCAAATACTTGGAACATGCAAACTCATTTGGACGTTGAGGCTAACCGCAATGACGAATTAATACATAGTTGAACCGCAGTACTTTCGCTTGTAACTTTGTCATCAATAAGTCATCGGGATTGTGAACCCTTCCCAGGAATACAATTAGGTAAAATCGCGAATGCGGAATTGGTGATACGAGAGGGTGGTTAAGTTCAAAGGACAGAAACTGCGTTTATTTTTCTCGAATTCTGATGGTTCGTTTACAGGACTGATTGGTGGGAAAGAAATCACCATCATTACTGAATGACGTCTTTACACTTCTACATTACTCAGATGTCACACTGCTGACTGAGTGAGTGCTCTGCCACTATTCCGAGCTTGCAGTCTTTCGTTCAGCAAGCACGTACACCACTATAAGCTCTTCCCGAAAGGCGCCAACACAGAGTCGACGCAAAGGATGTGTGTTGGATTTTGGGAGCAGCAGTCCATTTCCACCTCCACTGCTTGCAGCACAGTCAAAGGTGTTCATTTGAGAGCCTTACTTCCCTTGAATGCATCCTCTGCTTCACTTTGTTCTCCCTGATACAGTTTACAGACTGCCACGAAATTACGCAAGTCAAAATGGATTAGTTTATTTCTCCACACTGCAGTCCACTTCCAAAGAGCAAATGAATCAACCCCTCTTATACAAAACCCACTTCTATTTGGCGTTGGGAGGAGGCTCGATAAGTTGATTAGCAACTTCAGACAGCTCACTTCCATGTCAGCAAGGTTATGTGTTGGCAATCATTACACAAGACTGAGACTACGTTTCGAGCATCTGAGATTACAACGAAATGAACGCTTGCCTTCGCTAATTGGGTGTTATAGAGCTTATTCCTGATTTCACGTCCGGTTTTGTGCTATACATGTCATTAACCACTAGACTTACAACCTATAAACTTGTATGAGATAACATAGCAACCAGGACGAAGATGTCCGTTGCTTACACACTCACATGAGGCAACTATTATTTAGGAAGACTGTCAGATACTAGAAATAGGCCAAAGTTAAGCATAGACAGCTCAGTTTTGCTTCTCGATGAGGGTGAGCGAAGTTTGTAGGCTCTCCAATTTGCGTCGACAATTAAGCAGACCGCGTGGTCTTTTGGCAACCAAGAGATTATCAGCCCAACTGGGCCTAATTGTTGCCTCAGTGGTAAAAACACCCGCTCCCTATGCTTCTCAGTCACTTTCTAGCCTTTAGTATCGGATCAATGATACGATTCCTAAAGCATTCTACCTCGCCAAGTTTAGGTGAATGACAAGTTTGAAGATGTCAAATGTGTGCCAATCCATCTTGTCATCTGTATGCGATGATTGGAAACGATGTGAGTGCTTTGTAATTCAGGCCTGAGAATGGAGCGTCTTTTGCTTTCAATTAACTACGATGCACAGGATGCAAGGGAACTAATGAAGTGTCAGGCACTTCAACGTGCTCTCCACACAATGTAATTTGGGCCGAGAAGAGTGTAAGTCGATCTTCACTCGCTGACAGCTGACTCCCATGCAACGAGAGGGGCAGTAAGGAGGATGAGCAAGAAAATGAAGCAAAGTGAATTGTGATATCACACAAAATACTTCATGTCTTTTAACTGAATGAATGCAAGCGCAGTGTGCACTTTGGTAAATGTGGGGTCTCTTGGTGCTTCAGTAGTTCATTGACAACCTCGCCCTAAGGCAACATTTAACATTCACATGGATCGACCCACATTCGGAGATTATTAGAGGGGCAATGCAAAGACTATGTTTTGGTGGAATATGAGTGAACTGTTCAGATGGTTTCACCTCCTCAACATCTAGACTCCAAAGTTAATACGCACTTCTGGCTTCGACAGCCAATGCGGTGACGAAGGAGAAGAAGAGGGACCGATGCAGAAAATAAACGCAGGCTATTCAGTCTCTGCGTGTTTTACCACTCCTCCATGTCGGATTTCCTCCAATTCGTCAATGCAATAACAATAAACGACATTTCTCTGCCGGTATGGTGTATTGCACCCTCCAGAATGACTTGTAGACAAGTGGTAGGGACTTCGTGGCCTAAAGAATGTCTAAATTTTCGTGATCAAATGAGCAGACGATAGGAAATACCAGATGGTCACATTTCGCCTGCATGAATAGTATCATCCACTTATCTTGGACCAATGTGATACGTGACATTTGCAGACGTGTTCCCATTGGAACACAGGATTTGGAGTCTAGCGTGTGCGATATTGGCTTCTCAGCTCCGTGACCCGATGATTGAACCACAAGTACGTGACACAGCCACTCCGTTGAGAAGATTGTGCAGATATCCAGCAAATAAGAAATTTCGACACGGTTTGTCTGTATTATCAAGGGACTTCGGGCACATCTATTGAAAAATGATTTGCTCAAAGTTGGGCTTCACAAATAACGCTTTATGTGTTTGTTTCATAACTTTGGCGTGGTATTTAGCCTGGCAGGAACTTGTCACCTGTGCGCGAAAATGGTACAATAGTTTTGAAGGAGGAACCATCACTTTTAGTTGGAAATATCCCTTTTTGAAAGCTATGGAAAATGAGTGTCTGTGTGTCTTTTGAATAGTTAGAATTCACGTAAGACTAGTACTTGTCCACACTACGTAGGGGGTTCCGAATTTGACAATGAAGTGCAATTGACACATGAAAATTTCCTTCCCTTCCAATGAGTCCACAGCAATCGGAGCAGGAGTATCAAAATCTCGGAGAGCAAATACTCATATCGCAGCAATGCCACCCTCTGCTTCCTCATCTGCATTCACTTGAATTGCTGAACACTGATGTGGTCCAGTTTACTGCACCAAAGTGCTAACTAGGCGACATTCAAGGATACCCGTCTTTCGTCACGAGGCCAAAGATGATTGTAAAATGATTGCCGATGCTAATGGAGGCTGCGTCTTGATTGTCAGGCGACTCTATTCGGCCGCGCCGTTATGACCACTGAAAGCGCGAGTAGTACCAACTTGTCCTGATTCTTGACATGGATGGAAGCCATCACATATGCGTTGCTAGGCGTGAGTCATTGGACAAATCGGCCTGAACCGGCAATTTCAATTCATTTTATGTTGATCACACCGTGTCGATGACAAGTTTAGAGAGTGGTATGCCTGCAAACCTGCCAGTATCCCTTAGGTCTCTTTGTTTTCTCCTTTCACTGATTGCAGGCAAGCCCAACGAGGGTCAGCTGGCCAAAAGACAAAATGACGACTTTAGTGTTACAGGAATCTGTAAATATGCTGATGATGTGGCAGATGGGTACGATTTTTAGGTGGCTCTAATCCAGCCACCGTTGATCACGGCAGTGCAGGTGGTGGCGGTCGCTGATACGCCAGCGAGCTATTAGAAACGGGTCAACTCTTAAAGCCACTGACAATCCCTCCTCACAATTGATATTCATTCCCGAGAGTGCTTATTCAGCATATGGATCGTCCTGGTATGGATTATGAAATCATCAACATCCGTGATGAGAGTGCAAAGGTGAATTGTCTTTTCTGTAGGAACCATGAACTAAACTTGCACGACTGCTCGACACCTCGAAAAGTTGCCATCTCCTGGGCCCAGAGATAACCTCCTGTCATTTGAATAGCACAGAAAACGTGAATGTTGCAATGAGTCTAAGAGACTGCTTTGACAAAAAATACGAAGTTCTCTGGGTTGCGCTGGAAGTACGTCGCTTTCGAATAGGTCTATGGCACTACCTACAGAAACCATGTGTTATTTTTCGTATTGGTGAGGGCTCCCAAGGGACTCCGTAATACCTGAAATCAGGCTGGTGACTGACTCCCTTCGGTTGGGGGGGGTGGGCAAAGTCAGTGTCTCATTCCTAATGGGCGGTCCTGGTGTGTATTGCTGCCATCGTTCAATTGGCGTATCGGCAACTACTTGGACAGCCCAGTTGAGCTCTTGATTACGTAGTTTTCCTCCATCCGGCACCCACTCTCCACCTTCCTCTCCCTTCATCGGTCTTGACTGCACTTGCATGTGTGCCCAAACACACCTGACCATCCAATCTGGTTTAATTATAAGTTATACAAGAACATGTTCAGTGTCCTACCAATTTCTTGCAGGCGGATCTCTAGCACTGGTACCAGCGTCCTCCTCAGTTGCAGCGCAGATGCATAGATAAATTGACGTTCGACGATTTTGCAGTTCAAAATAGGGTCCTTAACAAGTGAGAGGAGTAAAGCGACATCACTAAGCCCTTTGGTTTGTAAGTTAGAGGCCCATTCAAGATGAAAAATCGGAGACTATGCAAAAAATATTACCATAAGGCAAGCACATAGAAGGATTTATCGTCGACCTTTATGACCGATTCACTTGATGGGCCTGTCCATGGTGGGTGAGCGGTCTGGTCCAACTGGATCATTTAATCCCTTTTCGGGCTCAGGAATTGCTCTCTTATAATGACGTCAGTTTCCATTATAAAGGTCAGCTGAGATCGTTGAGGTTCTGTGGGTCATTGTGACTTTGCGCAAGCAGGGAATGACATGAAATAAGAATTGCATCGAACGGTGAAATTAAATAAGTCGTGAAGTATTCACCTAATGCTCCACACTTCTGGGAAACTAGCCAACTTCTTTGAAGCTAGACAACCGGCGAAAGTAGCACGATTTCTATTAAGAAGGTAGTGAATCAAGGTAAGCAAGAGAAAATACTTGATTTGTAGACATAATCAACACTGCAATCCATGAGCTGCATCCTCTATCAGTTAGACAATAGGCTGGCTGCAATTTTTCCTAAAATGCAATAAGATCCCTTCCCTATTCCATCTCCTTCCAAAGTTTTTTGTTTATTTGTACCCTTTTCACATCTCAACTGCATATTCTACTTAATACATGACCATGTGGCAATCAGCTGACAAGACAGGATGATAATTGCGTGGAGGAATGTGAGGAGAGTATGGAGGACGAGGATGGGATTAGGCGGCATTGCTGTCCCATGCGAAAGTGAGGTATGAAGTCTTCCCACGGGTTAGCACCTCAGCATGAGGTTTAAGACCTTGGACTCTCTTGTGAGGCTAAGAATAGGAGCCACGTCCTACTGATCCGTCGGTACCAGACTTTGCCATGAAGGCTTCGCGTATACATTGGAGCTCTGTGGAATAGACAGTTTGCAAGCTCTACTGCTACGCTTTCATCGGGCAAATAATTCCTGGTGAACTGCCTCGGCTGCCTTGGACCATTCAGAAAGCATTCACAACCTCCTGAGGGTAAATAGTATCTGTTAGAAGTAGGGGGGATCGTCCAGTAATAAGCGGAGGTACGGCCTTACGACCAATAAACACCAGAAATCAACCAGTCGGGAAGGAACCAATTCAAAGGAGGTGCATCAGTGGAAAGTGCAATAAGTGAGAAAGCTTGTTAATACCTGTTGTTGCATTTGAGTGCATTCCATTGCTTCGAGTTACTTTACGATTAAAGTGCCCGATATTGATGCCTAAAATTATTTCATTGTTTCATTATTAAGGTGTCCCTATTTTTCACCTTCAATAGTGGCGGACCTTTCTCAAGGCGATGTTCAGCAAATAATCTTTCAGTTGTCCATTGCCATAATTAAGTCATTAATTAATCCACCACTAAACAGTGACTTCTGCCAGTGCACACCATCCCTCCTTCAAATATCATGCAGCGTATGGAAATGGTTTTTGCTTTAAAATTAATTGAAGCAAACTCGGTTTGTGAAGCAGACATGTTTAAGACATATTCACTGTGTCAAACGGATAGTTTATGAAATTGGTATCAAATGAAGGCGAAACTCTTACTAAGGAAAAGTGATAGAGAGCACGGTGAATGATGACCTACCGACAAACTTTTAACCACCTTTCGTTATTTGATAAGAAGTTGGAAACTCTATGTGCCACAATATTTAAAGTAATAACGCCTGACATTTAAGCGGGCAGTTCGTCTTCTCCAGTAAACCGCAGTTGCTTTTCAGAGCTACAGTGTCCGTGAATAGACGCGGTAACTGCCTCGTGGTGACGTGCAGTCATGTGTCAGTATGACAAAAAGTGATCTTCATTTAGGCCGCTTCTTCATATGTTCTCTATCAACCATGCTGTAACTCACTGTTTCACTCTGCGTTTGTGTGACACTGACTTAACTGCGTTGCTGTCCATGCTGGAGCCCATTTTTTGCTCCACCAATGTCTGTCTTGTCATCGGCGTCAGTAAAGGTGATTTTCCCCGCATTTTCTCCTTAACACTTCAAAGTGCCTCCTAGTCGGCTCAATTTTGAATTAAGTACTGTGCTATCTGTTCGATCAGGTACCTTTGCTGACTCGCTTTACTGATATCTTCTCAATAACTGGCTGTTTCTTCAACTATCACTAATGTAGAAGCTAGCTTTTAATTACTAGCCTCTTGCCCTAGTGTCAATCTTGTCCGTTTGCGGACAGATGTGGTTGCAAAGATTATATGATTCCCCTTGGTTTAGTCAGGTGATGCGCCTACGCCTACAAGGCCGACGACTCCAGCAATGATTAGGCAAGAATACTTTCGAACTACTGACTGTATCGCAGGTAAGGCAAAGTCAAAAACAACAGTTATAACTTTCCATGTTCTTAACTTACGGGAACTTATTAATGTTACCACTGTTTTCAGTCAATACATCTGCCCTATTTTAGATAGATAAATTTTCTCCAGTTAAAATCCACAGCATTTGCGTTTCAGTGCCTGCTTTTTCAAGATTACTCCACTGCCCCAAGAGCAAATTTGAGTCGACTCATCTCGTGACTCTTGTAACAAATGATATTTCTGCGTGAAAGTTTGGTGAGCTTAAGAATCAAAGAAAGGAGCAGCCTTGAAAGCAAACCCACAACTACCAAGTCGTTGCGACGTTGACGATTGATTATGAAGTTAACTATTTGAGCAATGCAGAGAAGAAGTCGTGACTAAGTTTGGTCCTTCCAAGGGACCTTTTATTGTCGTTTGTTGCTTTTCTTGTTGGTCGAAACCGTCGATTAAAGTCTTGGGTTTATTTGCTCGTTCACGGCCAATTAGCAAGTTTTCTAGCTATTGACGATGTTTGTCAAAGAATCGGAGTGTCTCTAGTTCCAGCGACTTGGACAGCTTAGCTCAACTCCGCACAAAGGCAGGCAATCGCCAAATGATCACGCAACATTTGAGGATGCTGAGGTTTCCATTCACTCTCAGAGCTCTTAGTAATCCACCTACTATGGTTTGGTGATAAGAGTTTTTCCATCTTCGGTCGCTGGCTTTCGCAGCTGTCTTGCAGAAATGTCAGTCACCACAAGTGTCGGGGAAACTTATTCATGACCAATTTTGGGGAAACTATAATCCGCTTTTTTGGTCAAGTGGCCAAACTCACAGGCGTCAAGCTCAAGTCCAAGTCCACCACCACACATTTGTTCGTGTATGCGACTGGCCTGCATCGATAAACTGACCATTTCTTCTCAGTTGGACGCTTTCAGTGTGATTTATGTCCAATCCGTGTGTACGCTCGCAATGCTGCTGCTGTTGCTGCTCTGTCCATGTTCATACTTGTGTCAAAATGCCTCCTCCACTTTGGAAATGAGTATGGTGACCCATGTGAAATACCCGAAGACACATGGGAGATACGTTGAGGGATGGATCAATAGGTTATTCTTGAGGAATTGGATTTGGCGATTGGTTCCCTTTTGGATTTACACACGAGAGCTGATTCGACGTTAAGACGATATGGAGAAGCCAGGAGGAGTGGGTGTAATTATGTAGTTGGATGTTTATGCATCTCCTCACGGAATGTTTTGACTTCAAGTTAGGTAAAATCGCAGCGTAAAGTGTGTTCAACACATAAAGTATAGCCTATGTAGAAAGTTTTTAGGAAAGACATATAATTGCTACCAAATTTACTTGTCTGAGTAAAAATTAAAAAATTGACAGCGACTCGCTGATTGCTGGTTCAGCCTGAGGACTGCATTCGTGCAAGTGGCCTGTACCAGTGGTGCGTATTCTGTGTAGAGCGCAAGGTTGGAAGATACGGTCTGAGTTTGGAGGGGTTGATGTGGTATACTAGTGGTTGTGACGATGATGTTGATGATGTGGACGCTGCACGGGTACGGTGAGTGGCAGCAGTGAGAGCACTTGCAGTCGAGAGCCTAATTTAAAGGGTAAAAGGCACAAGTGTGTGATTGCCTTCGAGACAGTCGATGTGGGTATACCTCACGCGTGTCTGCTCTTCGGCTCAATCCACTTTTGCCCCTACGTTGCAAACTAGTGCTGACATGCACGAGCTCAAATCCTGTTGAGTTGTCAGCTGACCATCCAACCAACCAATTGGAGAGTTTGGAGCACAGACACCTCAAACATGATTGCGTTTATCAGCAATCAAGTTAAGTGAGCTGGGGGTCAGGAAATATGAGGATTTGGGGGTAAGGAAATTTGGGACATGAATAAGACGTGTGATGCGATTGGGTTATATCCAGCTGGTAGAGAAGTGGAGGAGGTACTACGTGTTCACGTTATCACTAGATTTATGCAGATAAGG